TTGAGTCAAATCACTTTTTTGACATTTAATGAATGATCAAAGTGGAATTTTCTCGTATATGCAACAATTAGCAGCAGTTTTCTTATGCATAATCGTTGAATTTGATTAAAAAATATTTTATTTTTTTTTGGTGAGTGTTTTCGATTTCAAAATTTTAAAATATTTGAATATTAATTGTTTGCAAAAAATTTTAGCATCCTAATGATTTGCATTTTTCATATTTACATGAAAGAATATTTAATTGTTGAAAGCTTAGAAACATACATAATTAAATAATCGATTGATAGAATTTAATTATGCTCTTGTAACAAGCTGATAAATTTGTATTCCACTCCTCTTTTTAAATAATAATAAAAGATATCAAGACTATATTTTGCTACAATATTCTCCTATTTTTTCATCCTTATTTTTTTAACTTTTAATACTATGAAGAAATAATATGCAATCACTTATTTTTACTATTCTTTAATTGCGATAATTTTTTGCAAAAAAAGGAAAATTAAAAATTTAAATTAATTTGTTTTAAAGAGAAATTTGAACTTATTTTTACATTCTAATGACATTTTATGAATTATAATTTCTGTCATCTTATGGTTTCATTGATCCTATTGCATGCATTGTTTGCTAAGTTTACTATTTTTCTCCAATTCCGAACTGATATTTCGGGAATCATTGTTAGTACCATTAATCCATGGTTGTTGAATTTTGAAATAATCGCTTTCTTTTTTTTTGATTTGCTATTCAGTTAATTATTTCATCTCAATTTACATTTTTCACATCGATCTGTTCCATTCTTCCACTATTCAATTCATTAATTCTCCTCGAAATAATGTCAATTCTAAAAATTTCAATTAAATCAGTTTGATATCAATATTAGTCTTTTGATGTGTAATGTTTGGCACACGTTTTATTTCACCTAATGTGAATTTCACATAAAGAATTTTTTTTTATAATTGAAGCATTCTCTTTTTCACCATCTACGATTATTGATTAATTTGTTTACTGAAAAACCATCTATTAAATTTCATCCTTCATCAGTTAAACATATCCACTACTGTATAACTCAAACGAATTAATTACATATCTGTTTTTGCCTTCTTATTTATGTTTTTTTTTTTATTATTTTTTTGCTATTTATGCTTTTTTATTATTTTTTTCTCCGTCAACACCAATTTCATCCAAAATGAATAAAAGAAAAAAATGGAAAGCAGAAATAGGCTAATCTTAGCAAAAATGTTTTATTGATTCAAAAAATATATCTACTAATTAAAAAAAGAAACAAATATGACGCGAATAAGTTGATAAACAAAATTAATTAGAAGAAAAGGAGATAAGAAAGTTTTCTCTCTTATTGAAGGGTTTATATTAAAGAAAACTGTTTCCTTCAAATGCCGTATTTTGCTTATTCTTATTAATTGAATAACAAATTTTTGCTGCGTAATACTTTGTATTTTAATCTTTTTCATTCAGAATCAATTTATTTATTTTTTTTTGCGACATTATTTAATTGCATAAATGTTTTCCTTTTATTTTCTTTGCTGTTTATACATTTAATGTTCGCACTTAATTTTACACTTCTTTTGCCTTTAAATTTTAGTGGAAAGTTTTATTTTTTTATTTGCTTAATAAAATACATATATTTAATTTATTTATTACACTTCGTTTATTGATTTTTATTCACTATCATTTTATCGACTTTTTTTTTTTGCTTATCTAAAAGAAATTATTCATTTGTGTATTATTTTTGATAAGATATTAAGAGAAAAATGCATTTACAGTAACAATATTGAAGTAATAATAGCTGCCAAAGTTTTAGCGAGGAAAATGATTTGATCAAGTCATCATGATCTTAAGATCAAGGCGATCAATCATTCAAGGGATTCCATCCGTACCAAAGAGAGCCGGGGAAGATGAGTGGAGATAAAACGAATCATACTGAAATTTACATTTCTTTAATCACAGAATTTCTATTGTAAATTTTTGAAAGTTTTCTAAATAAGTAAAATTATTTTTGATCTATTCATAAGAATTTTTATTGGTTTCATTATTAAACAATAGCTTAACAGAACTGAATTATTATTATTTTTTCCTATTTTTTCCCTTCCTTCTTTTTCTTTCTTATTTCATTTTACTTTCATTATAAAATGGATATTAAAAATGCATCATTTAAAAGGATTAAATTACAATTAAAGTGAGAAAAAATAAGGAAATATTTATCTTTCGTAAAGATACGCAAATGTTTAGAAAACATATTTAATGATTAATTCTGAGCATGTTTTAAGCGTTGTTAAATTTCCGAATTTTTCTTATTCATTATTTGAAATTGTTATTTATCTATTTTTTAGCTTATTTTAAATCAAATTTTGCATGTATTTTATATTTTTATTTATATGTTTTTCAATTATTCCTAGCATTACTACGAATTTCATTTGTTAAAAAACTGCAAATGGTGATGAAAATAATTCATTTTTATAGGATTTCTATTATATCATCTCTGTGATTTTGTCCATTTCTGACAATTTTTATTTAACGATTTGAAAAAAAAAGCAATGAACACGCTCGATAAAGGGAAAAGTTTCAAATTGCAGGTATATATGACTTTTTTCTTTTTTTTAAATGTGACAATATGTTTCAAATATTCAGATTTCACACCGTGCGATAATTATTATTGCAAGAGCATGCTAATTTTTATTTTACATTTGAATTGTCATTTAACATTTCTTTAGCATAAATGTAAATTTTTCATTTTATTTCAGATGTCGTCAATGGTAGACAAAGTACGCCGCGGTGTAGCAAAAACAATACAGGCAGCTTCGGAAGGTGAAGCATTTGATACATTACCAGATTGTGACATTCTTGGGATAACTGATCGATTCGCTATTAAGATTTTACCCTCTGATGAGTAAGAAGTTATCATATTTGTTTACTGTTTATAAATTCGTGAAATTTTAATTTCATTTCCGATTTACAAAAATGTTAGGATAAAAATAGATGAAAATTTTTTCAGTATAATTTTGTTTTATTATTTATTTATTTTTTTCAAACTAATCATATTCCTTACACCGAGCCACTAAGATGCAGGAACTATCAAAACTTCATTACAGCATGCAAATTTGATGATTACCATTTCACTTAAAAAAGTATTTCATAATCTAATATTGGGTTGAAAATTATTTCAATACACTTTTGTTTTAAAATTTATTTAATTTTGTTATTGTGTAATATCATATATTTTTAGAAAGTCGATTTTTTTAGTATTCAGTTTTATGATGGAAAATATGTTTCCAGAGATAGTGGAACAGTTTTAGAAAAACAAATAATTTAAATTATTACTTTCAAAAATATATTACTTCTGAGTTGAGAAAAAACGGAAACACAAAAATTTGAATAAGAAGTAAGCCTTCATTTTTGCTACCACCGTTTTTATTGTTCTAGCTTATTTTACATGTAAACAAATAGTTTATACATCACTGAGCTATTTTGAAAGTAGTCTCGGTTCTTGCTGCTATTTTATTTGATACAGAAAATCGAATCGTATTTACAGTATGCTATATAGTATAGTAATCGAGTTTTTTTTCTTACTCTCGAATTAAATAAAAAAATAGTATTAGCAAAAAAATCTTTTTCAGTGTAAAGCCTTCTGCATCGGGCTTCGCACCAATCCATCTTGTGATTAAAGCCAAAAAAGGTAGCCGTCAAACTGTTTATAATTGTGAAATGATTGCTGCTCAAGGAATTATAGTTAAAACATTACGTGGCAATACTGTCATGGAAATACGACTTCCAGATAGTTCTCAAAATTCTGTGGGTAAAATTTTGCATCCTGCTGGGTCAACACTATATAAGGTACATTTTAAATTTCAGTTATACTAAAATTACAAATATTTAACGTCCGAATATGTCTACACGGAGAACAGATTTTGAAATAATTATTAAAGATGAAAAAAGAAATTTCAAATTTTTAATTGAAAGAAAAAGGATTTATGAATATCTTTTAATTTGCAAAATATAAAAGATTGTAATACGTATTTTTTATTTAGGTTGAACAAGTAAAATCTCAATCATTTGGTCAAAGATTTGTGATTTCAAAATTTGGTGTACCATTCCTAAATGTTGTCAATACACCAATTACACAAGTAAATGATTTTGAAGTTAAAAATTTTACCATTTTTTTTATACGTCAGTTTTATTTGTTGTAATAGATTACAGTGATTTAATTCTATAATAGATTGGTAGATGTAATTTAGTTTACAATACCAATAGGTTGGTTTATAGGATTTTAGTAAGATTAGAGTACTGATTGAGCAGTGATTAATTCATCATTTCAATCTTGAACCTTTTCCTTCAATAAATTGGATAAATTTTCCTGAGGTAAGATTCAGCATTGGCAGTATCAAAAGCAAATAATTTCCTTTTTTTTTTCAAATTCTCACGTTCTCTTTCAACCGGTCGAGAGATGAATAATCTGTTGCATCGAATAACTTTAATCGAAATATGAATTAATCTTAAGGAAACTTTGTTAGAGGCGAGTTAAATGTTATGAAGATATAAGCAGACATGCTATGTCGAGGGGTAATTGCATAACTTAATAATACCATTTTTCTTTTTCTTCTTTTTTTTAAAAGATTTGCAAAAAATTTCCAGACTTTTACTTGTCTATTTTAGATTTTTGGATCATTTAGCAGTATATTGCGTTATTTCTACCTCATTAATGCTGATCAGGCACTGGAATTTTTCAATTTAAACAATGAAAGAATAGGTTTTCTCAGGCCTTCATACTTTTCAACGGCTAAATCTATCATTATTAATTACAGGTTCAATTTGTTTATTTTATAATGAAATTTTGCAAGAGATTGAGTTTTTTTTTTTCTCTTCAGAATTGTTGATTTGATTTTTACATTTAGTTAAAAAAAAAACATAATATTCATTTTTTTTAATGATGAAGTAGTAAACAATTAAAAGAGCATCTCTATGACTCTTAGAATTCAGAAAAAATCAAACTTAAGAATGCTTAAAATGATGTTGAAAAGCCGATATTTATAACTTACTATGCACATTGATATTTTATATTTCTTCGAATCAAGTCGAAAATTAGATTTGATAGATTAAATTCACTTTTTCTTCTCAAATTTCTACAATTTTTGAAGTGAAATTACAAACCTAAACATGAATTTTGTCAGTTCAAAATTTGAAGAAAAACAATCAGATTTTTGAAATTTCATCAATTTAGTGATGAAGCAACAGCAGTACAAGAACGAGCTGCAATGCTAGGCACAAGCATACTGTTTCTAATTGTTGCTGTTCGACCGGAATACGGTGCAATGCTTCAGAATACATTGCACTAAAATGAAACTACCGATTTATTTTTCCAGTTGCTAAATTTATCGTGAAAATATCAATTAAATGAATTGATAGCTCTGTGCTATTCATAAAGTTTTTTTCTGTAGTTTTTTGCAATGTGCAAACAATTTTGCAGTACAGTAATTATTAAGTTGCAGTACAGTGGCATGTTCTGTTTCAGAGCTTATGGGTTTCTGTTTTATTGCTCCATCATGATCTCCTATTTGTTATTTATATTTCTTCAATGACATCAATTGATTTTATTGTTTTTTTAAAGCTTATTTAAGAGAAAAAGAGAAGAAAAAATTAGCATATGCTCTCTTTCTCTTTGCTTTTTATCTTCAAAAAAAATATCGCAAGAAATTTCATTAATTCGCTTCATTTCCAACTTTCCACCATTTTTATTCAAAACAGATCTTACCATGAAGTGAGATTATATTCTTTTTCTCGTGTTGCATTGTCACTAATAATATTAAAAAAAAATCTCGACTTGACCTATATTTTATGCATTCTGATCTTTATTATTTAAATTTTACTTCATTTATTTGGATTCCTATAACTGATTTTCCTCACGCTATATTATGTATGCCATCACATAATTAACGCATTTTTTTATTGAATCAAAATTAAATATACAAAAAAAGAAAAAATCCAATTCAAATTTATAGCAGGCCTTATCAAATTAATTTGTGGCACAAAAGAAAGAATACAGCGAATGAAAATTTTTGCAACATAAATTAATAAGATCGATCAAAATGGTAATCAGTGATACTGCGATTGTCTCGCTCGACCAGAAATAGGCATATTTAAATTTTTTAAGCTATCATTTCTTAAAATATGTTTTGCAAATCCTTTGCCGATTTTGGTTGTTCAGGGTAGTATAAATTGGGAGGTGGATTATCAAATATATTACCTGAGTGAAACCGACGGAATGAAAAAAAATTATCAAATATTCTGAATTGCTTGCAAAGAGCATAATTGAAGTGTATGTTCTCGACGGAATTTTATGCGTGAATTGACAGATAAAATGAATGGATGAAATTTTTGCTGTAAACCGAACAATTGTATGAAATGGCTTGAGACTTTCAAATTTTATGATTAAAAGGAATCATTTCTTTCTCAAATATTTACTTCAATATTACTTACATTTGTATAATCGAGTGAGGGATTCATACGAGATAGTCCGATTTTATAGTAATTTAATAACAGTAACATGCATAAGATGCAAATTATCTGTTTGCTATGCATGCATTAATAGTG